TAATTGTTAGATTCATACATACTACAGAGAATTAATGCAAATATTGTTATTAAAAGGCTTTTGTATCTGCCACTCGAATATACTAACAGGTTGTAATTATATTTTTAAAACATTTCCAATTGCCTTATCTGTAAAGTAAAGACTTTAAACAAAAAAATATTCAGGGCCTCTTTCTATTCAGTATGGATGAACTAACTTGACACTAGGGGCAAGTGTTACCACTAGAGGGCACTTGTTCAGGGAGGCAAATCCAGCCTCCAATCTAGCATTTAAAAACCAAGGAAAACTAATGTTTCTCTTTAACATGAGACACATTTAGTCATCTCTTGGATATCTCCTTCACAAATGATTTTTTTTTGGCATAAACAGTTTAGCTTATATGACCAATTGTTTATTTCATAAAACAAAGTTGAATAATAAAACTTTAGCTGGTACATGATATTCCTATTCCACTCCGAACTTTGTCAAGCAGGAGAAAAAAAGAAAAGTTAAAGTAACTAGATTGCTTAAAAGACTAGGGCCAATTGGTTATCATTAAGTCAACACCAATTTTTGTGCAACTCAACTATTTTGCAATTGTTTTATGCAAGTCAATATCACAGTAATCCTCTTAAAATACTTTATAAAACCCATTAATTTATTCCTTAAAAATGCCTTCATAGTCACACATAGCAGTTTTCTCTTTATTTTTTCTTACAACTGGTAATCTATTCAACTTCTAAGTGAGAAATATAATGCATCAGATGCAGAATGGTTCTTATAATGAGCATATTACACAATAGAAATAATTGCATTTACATATGTGCTCTGTGGTATGTTACTTGGCTTCTTTTCTCATAAAAAGTCTCATTTTCACTAGATATTTTTATTTTTAACACTTGCTATGTGCCAGATACTGCAATTATCTAGAACAAGAGTGATGGCTCTGTTGGGGACTTGGAAGTGGGGCACAGGGGCATGTTAACGCTCCAGCTTTGTACTTGAGTCTCCCCTGAGGACTGCAAGTTCAACAGGAGTGTCAGCACAGGGGAAGGAGACGAGAGACAGAAGTGAAGTAGAGATGAGAAGGAGTTTGGCAGGGGCGAAGTTTCACCCTGAGTTTCTGCTGTGCATCACGACCATACTGAAAGAGAAACTTAGGGGCAGCTATAGACCATTAAACTGAAGAACTGAGGCTCTGGGTCCAACCACCTCAGAGACTGGCTACACCACAAGAAGTAATAAACTAGCCAAATGCCGAGTTCCCTTCAGAGTGTCAGCTACGCCCTCCGTTCTCCTCCTTCCTTTGCCACATGTCCTCCCATTGCTTAGCCTCACCATGGGGCCACTGTTGTGTCCCCTCCTCCTGATGGCTACCAGATTTGTGAATGGGAGAGGTCCGAGTGAGTGGTGGAGACTTCTGTCCAGAAAAAAAAAGTTGGTTGTTTTTATTTTTAAGAAAATAAACAGCTATATCATTTTCTTCTCTCCGTACCCATAGAACTTGATACACAACAGGGTACAGTGGACCCAACCCTGGCTCCACTGTGTGACCTAGGGCAAATTGTGCGACTGCTCTGTTCCTCAGTTGCTTTTCTCCTCTGAAAATGGGAATGATGAGATGGCCCATGGTACAGCACTTACTTAGCACAGTTTGTGTCCTACTGTAAATATTTAAGTGTGCTAGTTGTAGCTGTTATTGTTCCTCTAGACCTCTTTTCACTGTATTATTATCTCTTTTTATTTCAGTCTCCTTCCTAAAGACTGTAAGCCCCATAAGAAAGGAGCTGGGTCTTATTTATGCATGTGCTCAGGACCTTTTGTAGTGACAGTGCCATAGAAGAGACGCTCATAAATGTTTAACGTAAAAATGATTATTTTTAAAATATTCTCTCCTACTATTGATATTTCTCTATTCTCCTTTACAATAAACTCCTTTAAAAAAAATAGCTGATCACACTCTGTCTCCATGTTGTCTCTTCCTGTTCTCTAGCTCTCTAAATCCAATGAGCACCTTTTAATTTCGAATTTCAAATCTTCAAAACCAAACTCCTGCCTTTATGGCTGTTCCTCCTAACATATTCCTTATCTTAGTAAATGGGAACTTGGTCCTTCTACTAAATTGAATTATTTGAAATTGTTGATATTTGACCAGTTTTGACTACAAAAATAGCAAATTCGTATGTTTCACATAATTGCTGGGCAAAAACCGGAGTGCTTAACTCCTTTTTCTCTCATAACTGATATTTAATCCATCAGCACCCCCTACAGACCTAAGTTCAAAGTGTATCTACAATCTGTTCACTTCCAGCTCTACCAATCTAATCAAATCCCTTTCATCTCCTATCTTTATTACTGACCAGTTCTGTCCTTCTCTTTCCCCTCCCCTGCAGTCCATTCTCAACACAACAGCCAAAGTAAACTTTTTAAAACATAAAAAAGATCATGTCACTCTACTGCCCAAAATAGACCCAAGCTTCCTGTCTTAGAGTAAAAGACAACATCCTTACAACAGACTATAAAGCCATGTTTGATTTGCCCACCACTATAATTCTCTGGTCTCAGTCTCCTGCTTCTCTCAATTTTGTTCTCTTTGTTCCACATAATGGCTTCCTTGCTGATCCTCAAACACACTGAACATATTCCCACCCCGGACCTTTGTACTGTTCTCAGATTGAAAGACTCCTCCCCAGGTATCCATATAGCTAGTTCCCTGGCTTCCTTCAGATGTCTGACCAAATGTCATCTTGTTAGTGTGTTCTTCCCTGACCACTGATGTTATTAGCAAACACACACACGCGTGCCTTATGCTCTCTGTTTCCCTTACCTTCCTTTATTTTTCTCCAAAACACATATAGCCATCTAACAATATGTTATGTTATATATTCACATTTTTATTTGTTTTTTTCCTGCTTCAGCCCAACAATACGTAAGCTCCATGAGGGCGGGTACTCTGCCTATTTTGTTCAGTACTGTATCCCTAACAGCAAGGATTCCTGGCACATAGCAGACCCTCAATGACTAATTCTTGATTAAAATGAAATAAATTCATGAATGAGTATATAGCACACACAAATTTTTCTTGAGAATGGCTGTTTTTAAATTTAAAAAAAAAAAAATCACTGAGACAGAACCTGCCAGCACTGTAATTTGCTTATTTATTGGTAATATTACTTACGGTGGAAGAAATTTACATGCTAGTGCTTTAGGGTCACTACATGTTTTAAAACAGGGAGTGGCACAAGGTTCATATCTCCATTCACACATCCTCCTGTAAGGCACTGCTGCCTGGATTTCTGGAAAAAATACAGTTTCAATTGTGTACATTTTTAATGAACAGCTTGAAAACTAATGATTCATGATACAAACCCTTATAGAGTTTGACCTCTTTGACCATAATGTTATGGAAAAGGCAGACCGAAGGGGAAAAAAATTGTAATTGCTTGGTGACCAAATCATTTTGTGCTCAGGCTAAACATCTAAATGTAAGTGTATCTTCCAAAAAATTTTAAAAAGCAAGGGTTTGGATGAGACTGAGGGAAATTCAAAATCTTCTTTCTTTCTTTATGTTTAGTGGGTTTATATTGATTTTCAAATAATAACACCAAATATTTGTTTGGAATTTTATCTTATGCAAAGTAATTTTGTGTCCATTATTTTATCTTATCCTTGCAACAACTCCGTGACAAGGAAAATAAGACTTTTGGGAAGGCATCTATGCCTCTAAAGATTGGAGTAACTGCTAGACTTGAGTTACTGGGCTCATGGGTCCTGGGAGTGGATTGGTTCCAAGACTTGAATAGACCCCTAGAGTATCCTAGGTTTAGGAAATCCATGAAGATCAGTTTCTGAGATTCTGATGAGGCCATTGGCTGCAGTTCTCCAAACCTCTAGGCATGTCAGTGACTTTTCTCAAGAGTACAGTGCAGGAGGTCAGGTCCCTGATGACCTTGCTGACCCAGCTCTCCCCTTCCATTCCATTGTAGAATGTTCTGAGAATGCATTATCCTGAGATAAGAAGGAACTAGCCAGAAGAGTTCAGGCTCTGTTCTTGTCCCTCCTAGAACAGGATGTCCTGCAAAATTTGTACTTAGTGAGCCAAGTGGTGCCCAGGGTATAAAATCCAGAAAGAAATGCTTTCAGGGTCCCTCAGCTGTGGTGCAACATGGGGCACACACAGACAAGAGTTCAAGTGCCCTGGGCAGCTTTCCTGAGCACTGGGGGTCTGGCTCATCATGGATCCTAGGCTTTTGCTGATTCCTGTTGCTTATCTGCTAAGTAATAAAAGTTGCTTTTCTGAACCTGTCATACACATGCTCTGTCTCACCAGACTAGACCTGAGAATAAAAATGGGGAAGGAATTGGGACTCTTTTGCTCTGCTTTAAGCCTCTTGGCAGAGTAAGAACACTTGGAGAACTGTGGCAGCTGGGTTTATGAAAAACCTCCTGCCAGACTTGGGAAGCTTTGCACATAGGAACTCTATTCCATAGGCAAAATTTTGAAGCTTAATTTGAATTTCCTAAAATCCAAATATTACAGAGGTTTGCAGAAATTTATTCCGAATAGAAAAAGGCAAATGATTAGCTCTCAAACTACTTTAGGAGGGTCAGTTAAGATAAAACAATTTGTTTGAGAGACTCAAGGCAGATATCAAGCTCCTGGTTTTGAAAACAGAGCATTACTTTTAAACATTGCATAAATAAATGAAGATTGCTGTCTGAAACTCTGAAAATTCAAAAGCTAGACCTCTAAAGCTCTCTAGAAATAAGATCAGACTTCTGCTGAACCAGGGAATCTTCCAAGGTCAGTGAAACTGGATACCCTTATATTTAAAATAAAGGACAGAGATGAACATGTTATCCTTATCACTAAGAATCAGATAATCAGAACGAGCCTTCTGGGAAAGAAAAAGAAGATACAAACACTAGACAACCATGTGACATAGATGGGCTCTATCCCAGTGTCCAGACAGCACTAGTGGTAATAACTGAGGTAGTAATAATAAATAAGGTTATTCAGGGTTTTTCTAAGCAATTTACATCAACCTATGTAATACTCAAAATAACCCTACAAAGTAGGCATTACAATTTCCCCCATTTTACGGATAAGTAAGCTGAGGGATAGAGAAGTTAAGAAACTTACTTAAGGTTATACAATCCTATATACTTATACACAGTAAAAATGATATCAAAATTAAAGACTGATAAATATTCCTCATAATGTAAATTATTTATTTGCTCTCTTTTTAGAGATCTCAGGAAACATACCTTCTATGCTGAAGCTACTTGTATGTTTAAATTCTTCAGAATCATCATATTTTGATGCTTTGACACTAGAATCTGTGAGTATGATAAAAAAGCCTTTTTTGCTGTATAATTCAAATGCACTGTAACCAGGAATCCAGAGGCCCTGATGGTGGAAAAAGGTTGCTCTCCGATGAAAGGCTGAATTTGCCTCCCACAGCTTCAAACTAAGAGTGTCATTGTCGTGGACATAGAGAAAATAGTTTGGCCTTTCAGCAGATTCCAAGGACACAAGTGCCAATGCTGTAAGACATAGAGCAGTGAGTTTGACAACCCCCTGGATTCTCATGAGAAGAATATTAACATTGGCATTATAAAATGTACTTATAAAGTCAAGAAAATAGTATGCACAATTGCTGTACATAAATGATACCAATCTCAAAGATTTCAGAAATGAATAACGAAATCCCTAAAAGAAAAAGCAGCACTTTAAATTCAGTGTATAACAGAGATATCTAAAAAAAAAAAAAAAAAATTGTGAGTTTTGTAATCTATTTTTAAAATAATATATTTTTTAATAATATATTATGTCTTTGGGGGGAAAAAAAGAAATATCAATGAGGATCCCAGAATGTATAGTTTTACACAGTAACTGAGTGATTAATTAACATATATTTGTATTTGCAAGCTTTAATGTTATCAAAAGCACAAAAATCTATGAACAGCTAAATTTGATGAAAAAAAGAGTAAGAGAATAAAGAAATAGATCAATTTAGACCTATAACTTCATTTCATTATAACTGGGTTCCTAATGAGCAAATGTTCTGGCAAGAGATTTTACTGCATCAAGAAAAGACTATTTACTCAGCATTACTGGCTATTTCCCAAAAGATGATCAGACGGCTAATGAACGACAAGTTTACAAAGCACTGGAGAAGTATCATGCGTTTTATGTGTTTTGAAAATTTCCTTTATATTTGTAAAACCCATGATATGAAAGCTTTCTAACTGAGATTTTAAGTTGATTTTCTTAAATGAACACTACTTAAATTTTCCTATTAAAACCTTGGTTACAGTAAATCATAAAAAGAGCTCTCTCAAATTCAATATGATTCCAAAGGCATTTATTGTGTCCTAAAAAATTGCACGTCCTTCTGCTGAGCACTGGAAAATACAAAAACAAATAAAACATTTTTATATGAGAAAAAAAACCATGTAGCCAACATAAATTACAACTTCAGACTGTGACATGTGTTTTCAGAATCAAGGGAGTTCCTTTTACAGAAGAGAAATAACTTATTCTAACTGGAGAATCGGGAGATTTCTCAGAATAAATTAAAGTTAAGTTGGATTAATTTATTCAATAAATATCTCCTAAGCTTATACAACATGCCATGCTTGGGCCTAGGTAGACTACATAGTAGCAATGTAGATGAGCATCACTGGAGCAGAAGGAGACACTACCACCAGTCAGAACAGGGGCCAGCTGGATACACCAGTACAGACTTGCCAATGCAAACCAGGAAATGTACAGCCAGGTCCTGGACACCAAAGACATGTCAGTGAATGAGGAAGGTAAGGATAGGATAATAGACCAGGTAAGGCCAGGTAAGGATAACAGACTGTCTCGGTGACTGTCTACATCCTGATTTCTGCTCTTAATATTGTACTTATTTGATATCAAATCACAACTTTTTCTTTTACTTTAATCTGGCATTAAAATCCTCCAAATTCTAGGAATCAGTGGATTGTTTTTCAAAAATTTTCAAATTAAGTTCTGTGATTAATACTATGACAATTTAAGCTGTGCTTTATTTAGCACCGAAAACTCAATCAAACAATTGCAGTTTTAAGGCAATAGATAAACAAAGAAATTATTTTATATACAAAAGACATAGCTGGTTTATGTGCTAATGTCATATTTTATTTTATATGCTTTAGGGCACTTAGAAAAATGCCGTAAACTTATTAGATCCCCAATTAATATTTACTGAATGAATAAATGAAAAAGTATCAATGGAAAGCTACGCTTATTTTCAATTATACTTACATGATGTCTTCTCTTTGAAAAGTCCTGGAGTGATCATAAAAATAAAAAATAAATTGTCATGTATACTACTTCTTGGCAAAGAGAAAATGTTCCTACTGGTCATATTGGCCCCCAGAACAAGGCCACTCTGCCCATAACTTGCCAGCATATATGGTCCTTCTCCAAGTCCTAGTTAAGCACAAATAAGAGAATTATAAATTGGTATAGGATTTTTAAATTTAAATCTGTCATTTTATTTCAATAAAAATAAATTGCAGAACAAAAAATATTCCAAAAATATAGGGCAATTAAAAACATAACATTAATAAAATAATTGAACTCTTTTCAAAAATAGTAAAATAATTTGAAAAATATAAATATATATTTAGAATATGTAATTTTGATAATATATACATACACATGAATATGTATACACGTGTGTATGTATACATGCATGTATATGTATATGTTTATATACGTGTGTATGTAAAGCAGAGCTGAATAGTAGGTTGACAAGCTTTCTGGACCTCAAATTTTTCACCTATATGAAGAAATTTGTCTAGGTAACCTTCTAGCTCTAAAATTCCAAGGTTCTAATCTATCCTCAATAAATATAAGTTTAGTTGTATCAATCGCCTGGTATTATGATAATCTTCTAAAATTCATCTCTCTTTAGTAGGTTGCATTGCATGAAAAAAGAATTCACAGATATGATATGCAATATTTTACTGTTCTGTGAATTATTGAATTTCACTAGTGAGATATGTCTATAAAAAAGAGAAAATAAGATAAAGCTCAAAGAAAAGTGAAAGACCTTTTTACTCATGCTATCATTTCCCATGAACTTAAATGGTTCCATATAAACTGGAAAATATTTATCACATTAATAAATTAGTTGGTCTAGAACTAAAACTGAAACTCAGAGTAATTTTTCTGCAAACTTCATCTTATAAGGATAAATATGTAACTCAACAATAAGTTCACGTGTTCAAAAAATTTTTATGCATTAGGTTTTATGATAATGAAGTCAGTTTACTTTCAACCCAATCTCTGTGCCATTTAATTGTTCTTTATATAACTGAAATATAAAATTTTAAATTTTCTTCTGAATCATCAAAAATTAAGTTACATATTTACAAACTGTAACTTTTTACAGGTATACATATATTTTTGTGTTGTAAGTTATATAAAATGTTGATATACATGTGGTACCTCATAACTTAAAACATTAATCTCATTGCTATCAGTGTCTTTTACTTTCCTTCTTCTCTCATTGCTATCTCAAACATAATTTAGCTTTCCCAGCCCACTCTGAAGAGGGAACAAAAAAAGATTCAACGAATATAAGAATCCTTTATGGACTGAAGACCAGGCTGAAGAAAGGGGAAAGGGTAGTTGGATTGGAGGGATGAGAAGTTTTTTCAGTAGAAAAGTTTCCATCCTGAGGACCAGGAGCAGAGTGAAGAGTCTCAGATAAGTTACCTTCCAGTGTAGTCCCCTCCACTGACTCACCATTTTGGGAAACATCACCACCGAGCAGCTAGGGACACAGATAAGCTATTAGGAAGAGCCTCAGGAGGGACTCAGATACATAGAGTAGAGAGGGGATTTGAAATAACTTTGGCTCCACACCAAGGTAAAGCTGAGAAGAAACTGTGGAGGATTTTTCTATGAGTCTGGCAGCAGTGGACCCACCACCATTGTTACAAACCTATGCTATTCAAAATGTTTCTCCATGAGCCAAAATATACAAGAATCAAATAAAATTATATCAATAGTCTCTACCACCTAATGGCTCATTTTTAGGAGGGACAAGAGGAGAGTAACATAGACTTCCAAGACTTAAACATACTTCAAAGTATAAATCTGTAGATCTGTATAAATGTGTAAGTAATGTATATATAAATAGATAAATATGTAAATTATCATGAGATCAATTCAAAATGGAGGAGACATATATACAAATACAACTTGAGGACTCAAAGCACCTTCACAGATATTCAGCATAAGAATGAGAAAGGGATGGACAGCTAAACCTCAATCTTTTCTCCCCTGTTGCACATGAATTTACTATAGCAACCTGAAGAGACAATTGTCACCTGAGAAATCCATTCGTATAAAAACTAAATGCTTTTGAATTGATTCCCAGTTAATTGATATCTTTCTTCTGGACTATTTTCATGCATTTTAACCATCAATTGAGAGAGAAAAGTCATTGATCTTATCATTTAATCTTCTGCATATAGAAGAATAATTTCACCACCTACTAAAAGCAACCACTTCCTGCAGTGATTCTTTAACCACAGCAATAAGCATATCCTATGTAATAAAATCACTCTGAACTTAAAACTTGCATAAGAATTTTTAGCAGGGTATTTAGCTCTTGTGCCCATTTTTTAATGGGTTTACTTGTTTTTTTGTTGTAAAGTTGTTTCAGTTCCTTGTATATTTTGGATATTAATCCTTTGTCAGATGTATCTTTTGCAAATATTTTCTCCCACTCTGTTGATTGTCTTTTAACTCTGTTAATTTTTCTTTTGCTGTGCAGAAGCTTTTTAGTTTGATATAATCCCATTTGTTTAAGGGAAGAAGACATAACAATTACAAATCCTTGAAGTTGATACGACACTCAAACAGAAAGGACATTGTTGGGAGGGAGGGGGGAGATGGAAGAGACAGGGAGGTTTTCGTAATGGGCCACAATAATCAACCACATTGTATATTGACAAAATAAAATAAAATCTTAACAGAAATGGTGTTGGATCAAAAATAAATAAATATATTAACTTTAAAAAAAGAATTTTTAGCAGGAACAAAGATCAGAATGGCTGTAGGTGTGTGGGTTGATTTCTGGATTCTCTATTCTATTCCATTGATCAGTGTGCCTGTTGTTATGCCAGTACCATGCTGTTTTGGTTATTATAGCTTTACAGTATAGTTTAAAGTCAGGTAGTGTTATAAGCATTTCTCAAAGGAAGATATATGAATGGCCAACAGAAACATGAAAAAATGCTCAACATCACTCAGCATTCAGGAAATGCAAATCAAAACCACACTGAGATACCATCTCACCCCAGTTAGGATGGCTAATATCCAAAAGACTGTGAATGATAAATGCTGGTGAGGTTGCGGAGAAAAAGGAACTCTCATAGATTGTTGATGCGACTGCAAAATGGTACAGCCTCTATGGAAAATGGTATGGAGTTTCCTCAAACAATTGCAGATAGATCTACCATATGACCCAGCTATCCCACTGCTGGGAATATACCCAGAGGTGTGGAAATCATAAAGTCGAATGTATACCTGTTCTCCAATGTTCACTGCAGCACTATTTACAATAGTTAAGAG